ATTTAATCTTGCAAAATATTTTACTTCGGCTCGTTCTTAATATAAATCTATTAGCCAATCAGATTTTGTAAAATCACAACATGATCTACAAAAATTATCCAATCAGAATAAAAGTCCGCTATGCTTCGTTAGAGCAATTTCATAGGGAGGTAATGTTGTTCAAATCGAATTTTGTGAATTTCAATACTGTAATATTTTTATTGATTTGATATTGATTCTAACAATTGAATCTTTTTGAAATAGAAATCATCGCAAGAAGCTATAAAAAAATTTTCATCAATATTTTCTCAAGACCCAATAATTAAATTTGATGTAACTGAAATCTGTTGGATTGTTCATAAAGAATTTCATGATCCTTTTGAGGTTAAAGCTAGAGTTGAACTTGGTGTTGATGGTGAAATTGTCGTAAACGAATAATGTAAGCTTGAATGTGTGTTATAATTAAATAAAAAAAAATCATAATTACACTATATTTAGAATACTTTGAGTGTAGGTTCAAAAATGATATGACAGTTATATAGTATATATTAGTACTACTCTGTTGTAATACTCTGTTATAATAGGTTCAATATCAAGTGCTTGTTAACAAACTCATTATATTAGTAGGTAGATTAATTAAACCAATAGAATTCTTTGCATTTTTTTTCGATATTAATAAAAATTTGAAAGCTTAATAAAATAATTGATTAAACAATTAAATAAGAAAATTTAAATGTTTAATTGTCGTATAGTAAAAATAATTATTAGAATTAAAAAATTAAGAAAGTTCTTTTTACCAAATATAAATATTAATTTTAAATATTTTTATTATTAATTTTTTTTAAAGATACAATTTATCTTTTATATGAACAATATTTATATAACCATTGTTTCATTTTAAAAAAAAAACTTAAGATTTTAATAAAAAAAATAATAATATAGGCAGACAAAATAAAACTATTGTTTAAAAAACAGGCGCAAATAGCGCTTTATACTAAATTGCAAAATTAATATATAATTTACTGTAAAATCAAATTTGTATTATATAAAAAACATTTTTAATCTAAAATTTTAACTATAAACCTATTGTTTAAGTTTTAACAAAAAAACTCACCAAATTTTACTATAGATTTTATTTTTTAATTTTGATATTAAAAAAAATTAATTTTTATTTTAATAAAAATTTGGTTTAATTATAGTATACTACTTAACAAAATATATAATATATAGTAAAACATTAATTAGATTTATTGCATTTAAAAATTTAAATTATAATAGTTCTTTAATTATTAAAAAATTGGTTTTTTACTGGTTTAGAAGTTTGGTAAAATAGTTTACAAATTAAAAAAGAATTGGTACATAGTTACTATAGTTTAAAAAAGTATAAATCTAATAAAACAACAATTAAATACTTAAATTAGTTATACAGTAAGTAAAGAATTTGATATTTTAATTGAATTATTTTTTGTTGCTAATATTATTAAATTTTTATAAAACAGCCATTATAAAACTCAATATACTTTAGATAAAGTCACCTGCCTAAAATTGCATCTTCAGGTATTTAAAGTTACATTTGTCTAAAATTACTACTGTAATATATGCAAAAAAAAGTCTAACACTACTTTGCCAATTTTGACCAGTACTAATCTCTTGAACCAGATAATTAACCGATAACCTGTCATAGTTACCGATAACCGGTCCATGCCACTTTGAATACCACATAGTTTCTATCTAAATTGTATATTGTACCATGCGCTAAATTACACTGTAAATCTCTAAAAGTAGATAAGAAATATAATTTTATATTTCACAAGTAAATTATTAATAGGTTGAGAAGCCTTTAATACATAGAAAAGAATGTTTCAAGACAGTAAACTACTTTGATAAAACTATTTAATAATAATGTATGTACATATTTACTTGACTTAACAACTTATTTGAATCATGAAAATGAAAATCTAGCAAAAAAAAATTAAAAAATATATATAATGATAAATAATAATTTATTACAGTATATATTATATATTAATTCAAGCTATAGCCTATGTGAAATGAATTCTATATTGAAGCTGTTGCATTTATTTGTTTTTAATACAGCAAGCACTACACAAAATTATAAAACAAGATATATATATATAACTTAATATTTTGTATACTGATATTTTTTTTAATGATAATAATTGTCAAGATCTAATCAGAGTGATGTCTTTCCATTCCCACAGACCCTACAGTGTCTTGACCTGTGTCTTGACCTAGATCAACCATCGAAGTAGACGCAGCTTGTGAACCATAAATAGTATCAGAATCGGGTTCCCTCGTTGAGGATTTAGTAGTATCTTTGTCATCAGGATCAACAAATTTATCCGAAGGACCATGATGTTGAATAAAGATTTTGCCTTTATCATCATCATCATCTTTATCATCTTTACCATCTTTACCATTCTTACCATTTTTAACATCTCTATCTTTTTGATTGTCATCATCCTTTTTCTTTTTACTTTTTATGTAATAATATGCGCCAATTGCACTAGCACTAACACCAGCTAAACCGACACCAATTCCTACAGCTGCTTGCAACACTGAAGAATTTGCGTTGACATTGTTGCTATTGTTGTTATTATTGTTATTATTGTCATTATTGTCATTGGAACTTTGTGGATTTTGATTAGTAGTTGTGGATGAAGTTGAGGATGTTGTGGATGAAGATTGAGTTGAATGGCTTTGTGAACTTGTTTGATGTTTATTATGTTCACGATTGAAAGGAAAGAGTGGATTTGCATTAGGGAAAATTCCACCTACTGCGGCGACGGGTATTAATACAGCAGCAGCTTCAATCTCAGAAACATTTATAGGAGCAAATGTATGTTTTACTATGGCGACAGCTCCTATAGGAGGTACTATATTTTTACTAATTTCTTTTACCAAAAGTGGAGTTGGGTAAATTGCAGTTATAGTTGGAGAATAGTAATTTAGAGACTTTGTAGCCATCATGTAGGTAGTGGTCGGAGCTACCAAGTCTTGGGCAACAGCGCCTTCCGTGGGAACAATTAGTGCAACCAAGGGAATTGGTGCTCTTCGATCATGCTGTGCTCGTGATTCAAATTTATGAAATGGATGTGCGGCTGCAAAAGATAATGCGAATAGCACGAGTAAAATAATTCTTTTCAAATTAAAGACCATGATACGTAGCAAAAGATTTTAAATTTGGCGCAGGTATTTTCATCTTTATATGTGTTTTCTGTTATTAAAAAAAAATATTTCGCTATGTTTATAAGTGGCTGTACATGAATAGAAAATAAGGCGTGGCCGGGCTGGTATGGTTCATTAAGCTGAGCCTTGCTACCTTAATAGATTTAATAATATTTTATCAATGGTAACCTTGAAAATATTTCCACGTAGAACTGGATTTTTTTTTTTTTATGCATTTTTTATCAAGCCACGTAGGTCAAAAAATGGTAATTGTTATTATGTAACGATCTTATAATTATATGTAAACGCGCTTCTTAAATTTTTAACTCGTGTATATAAGTAACAAAAATTAATCTTTTTTTTTGCAGTATAAGGTATTCTGGTCTGGCTCGGGTGGGTAATATGGCACACTTAGGTTTTCACTATATCCCGTTAAACAGCACTCAAAATCAAATTATATTAGTACCATTCGATTCGTCTCATTGAGACAATTCAAATTATATAAAAATCGCATGGTTCTAATTACTGAACTACAAAATAAATGAAGGTCAGATATTATAGTTCACGTATTATCACATGTTTTAATTTTACTATGTATTTCCTCATTCGGACAATATCTGGAGGGAGGATGCAGTAATACGTACGAAATACAAAGTGCACAATAATTCCCTCAACCTGGAAAAACAGCGATAGCAGTTTTTAAATAGATTTTAAAAGTTTAAATTTCGAAGTTTTTATTCAACTTCTTTTTTTATCATTCGATAGTAAACCCGAATGTTATTTTATAAATAGATAATATAGTACGCTTTTTCTAAAAATTGCAACTCTTAAGTGCGTCATAATACCCAACTCACTCTTATGATTAAACTATATTCGTGAAACTAAATTTATTATCTACGTAATAAATTTCATTACTATGAGTTTAGTATCAAATTTTTTGGTCATTTTTAAGGTGAATCAAAGCTATATGAATTTCAAACTAAATTTATGAAAAGAACGGCTGAACGTATTCTATCTTGGATATTATCTTATCTATCTTTTGATAAGCGTGGAACACAATTTTGCTAATCCTTCCAAACTCAATATTGACTTAATACTATGACATAAAAATCACTTTGTGTAATCTGTAACATTCTTATCTGTTACGTTAGTTACTCAAATTCAAAGGCGTTTTCTAGGTCAAAAAGTATCGTAATATATTTCATCATGTTACGTACGAACTATTGATCCAACTTCTCGTATTTATTGTTATTTGATTTGATGGCCTTCCGTTAAAGATTTCGATTCAATAATTAATTATTTAAATCTAACTTTACGGTTAATTCGATTAAATAATCCGCGAGTATTTGGATCAATATAAGAAACTTTCACATCTTATTCGCATGTTAAATAAAGGTAAATAAATTTCTTTACGTATTCCTTGACTACGTAGTAACATCATTATTATAATATATCTATCAAATGATAATTGAGGGAATAATCACATGATATGTTCACCTAAATTACTGTACAGTACATATCCTCACATTACCATTATTAACGTCCATATTATTTTTACTGTCCCTAGGAAACTGAGGTTGAATTTCATCGATAAAAAAAAATATACAATTAATGAAGAAATCGGTGAAATTTTCCACTATATCCTTCCCACGTAATTTATGTCCAACGTTTCGTCCAAGGGAAATAAATGCTTTGATTAAGTCCAAAACTCCTTCGTGTTCTTTAGTTTCCACCTTTTTTAATTTTTCAAAGTCTCCTCGTTCTACATTGCCCCGCATAAATTCTCTCTTATTTTTCGATTCTTCTTCAATTACATCGACCAATTTATCTAATCACGATGCGTTGATTACAAAAACAAATAATTCTCACTTTTTTCTATTTCCTCAAATCCTCCGTCGTTCTTTTCACTCGTATAGTGTTTCAAATTTTAATTCTTCAAAAAGAACTTTTAAATTTCATTCATCTGAACATATTAAATATCAAGAAGCAAATGATAATCTCTCTTCACATCCATTATTAAATCTTACTAATCCTTTTCCAACTACGACTACACGAAATGAGAATTTCATATTTAATCATGGTGCTTCTGGTATACCAAAACATACTGATAAAACTATTTCGACTGTATGTGATGGGGAATGGTTTAGTATTGAATGTGGTGAAGATAGTTTCTTCAGGCGTCATGATTCTTTAGGCGTAGCTGATGGTGTTGGCGGCTGGCGTAACGTTGCACCATCCCCTAGTGCTGGTAAGTTTTATTTTTATTCCTGATTATGTTCTTTTTTAATTTTCATCTTTTGAAAAAATTTTTTTTGTTATAGTTGCTAATTCTGCTCTTTATTCGCGAAAATTGATGCACTATGCGTATGCGGAGCTTGAAAAATATGATAATATTGATGATGAAAAGTTTTATCACTATAATGATGTGAATCCCGTAGATATTTTGCAAGCAAGCTATGAACAAAGTATGCGTGATTGCACCTTGGAGGTAATTATTTACTTGATCTTTTTATCTGTTCACTTTTTTTTTAGAATATATCTAATTATATTTTTTTTCTACATAATTTCTCTTACGGATATTTAAAGAGCATAATTGGTTCTTCAACAGCTTTAATCGCGATTTTACGAAATGATGAGCTTCGGATTGCAAATCTTGGGGATTGTGGTATTTGTATTATTCGTCATAACAGTTTCATTTTTAGAAATGAGGAACAACAACATTCATTTAACTACCCATATCAATTGGGTAGTGCTTCTAATGATACTCCTAAAGATTCACAAACATTTACGGTTAAAATTCAATGTGGCGACATTGTAGTTGTGGGTTCTGATGGTATCTTTGATAATTTATTTGATGAAGATATATTAGATGAAATTCTCCCATTTAGTTGTCCAAAACGGGGTTTGCAGGTTGAACCTCAAATAATTAGTGATGCACTCGTTTGGCGTGCTAAAACTGTGAGTGAAGACCTCCATACTACAAGTCCATTCCAAAGCAGGGCATTGTGTGAAGGTTTATATCATCAAGGTGGAAAAAAAGATGATATTAGCTGTTTGGTTGGAGTTGTGACTCCAAAAAAATGATGTCAAATTATAGTTAGATATAGTAAAAGGTTAAAATATGATTTTATTAAGCAGAAATGGTCTTACCAGAACTTATTTACAAACAATTAATAAGTAATTGACAATTAAACAAGGCAATTTGCCTATATAATCTTTACCGCTTTTATATCAATTTTCTTTTTAAACAATATTATATCTTATATAACATTTTTTAAGATTAAATTATATTTCGTTATGCATTCTTCAGTTGATAACTGTTAATTGAATTTTTATTTTATTGTAAATGAGAACACACCTCTGATTGGCTCACAAATGATACCACTTTAAAGTTTTTTTTTTATCAAATTATAAATACAACTAAAATATCAAAACGAATTCATTTTTATTTGTTTATTAGACAGGAAGAAATATTTATTAAAGTGTTTCATAGTACATTTATATACATATCAATGTAATACCATTCTTGCAGATCATGTCACGCATCCAAAACTTTATCTGAAAATAATAAAAATCGGAAGTAATATATTGAATTAATTTTTTTTTCATTTCTGGATAGTAATGTCACAATTTACTCTGAGCTATTATCCGAAAATTGCAAAAGCGTTTAATTAATAACTTATGTTGTTAAGATAAAAGGTTATATTGTGAATAAATGTAAGAAAATTTTAAGATTTAAATAGGAAGTTTATTAAAAAGTGGGTTATTTTTGAAAGTTTTAAGATTGTTAAATTAGTGAAGTGATGTAAATATTTGAAGTGAGTTTGAAGGGTTGGATTATATCAAAATTTTATAAGAAATTTTTTTTGTTAGACTTAAAAAATTAATTCATAATTACAACTTTAAAAAAAAGTAAATTTGGTATTCTCTAGCTTTCTTAAATTAAAAAATTAACCTTTTAGTTTAAAATAGAAAGTAGAGGTGAAATATCATATCTATTTTCTGTAGTGGTTTAATGGTTAGCCCTAACTGCAAGTAATAGAACTTACTCTATTGCATAGATTATAAGATAATTAATTAGAAATTTTAAATTTAGTACTTTATTTATATATTATCTTGATATAACTATAATTTACTATTTTATTCCTATACTTGATATTAAATAAATAAAATAAAATAAATTTTTTAGAAAAAGCAATATTTTTATATTATAATATACTATATTTAATTTTATAATTTTAAAAATTATAAAAGTTGGGTTCTGTATTTTAGTAGTTAAGCTTCCAACTTTTCACAAATAAGGTTGGTAGTTCGAATCTAGCTAGATATCTCTATTAGAGATGTAATTGGCTTGATTAGCTTGGCTTGGCTTATAAAGCTATAGCCAAGCCTAAACTATTATTTTAGTAGCCATAATTTAAACTATGGCTATTAATATAGCTCAGGCTTATCAATTGACTATAGCTTGAGCCATGGCTTAAGCCAGTTAAACTATGGCTTAAACTATAGTTTAAGCCATGGCTTAAGCTAGTTAAACCATGGTTTAAACTATGGTTTAAACCATAGCTTAAGCTAGTTAAACCAATAGCTTAAACTATAGTTTGAACTATGGTTTAAACTATAGCTCAAGCTTTAATCTAAAATTTTATTTTAGATATTAAATATAAATAATTTTTTTTTATTAATATTTTTAATAATGATAAATTCTTTTTTACTTAGTTGTATATAACATGTTTTTTAAAAATTAATATATAAATTATAAACAGATTAGCATTTTGTTAGTTGAACATATATTTAAAAATAACAAGTTTTGCTTATTTATTAAACACTATCATATAAATATGAAACAATGCTTTTGGGCATTATTTTTATAATGTTCTTTAAAAATAACTTATATAGTCTCAAATTAGCACTTATAATCATTCTAAATTAATAAGCATTCTAATGTAGGTATGATTTATTTTGTGTGCTCTTTATAAGTAAACTTCACAAGTATAATAAATAAATACAAATTGTTATTATATGTAGATAAATTTTTATCAAACAATGTGTATTTATATAAGGTTGACTATATTGGATTTAGAAAAAATAAATATAGGTGTATTCAAAATAATGCATAAACCAATTAGATAAGTAATATTTCACACCTATATAATAAATTAAAGTGAAAAAATAAAATTATAATATTGCTAATTTTTCACCCTAGGTAATATCACTAAGTTTGGAAATTAGTTTAGAAAGATCAAAATAAACTTTAATCATTCTAAATAAATACAGCAAGCTTCGACAATATTATTATTAAAATTACAATATTTAAAGTCTAACTCAGATATTCACAAGCAGGATTGGGCAATCTATATATCCAATGCTTTTTTTACTAGACACTAGATATTTTCAAATTTTTTTTTTTTTTTAATATTAAGGTGACCACTTAGGCCCTTGGCACTTTATTAGTACAAGCGGTAGGCCATTGTTAATTTTTAACACCGGCTTTACATATTATATCAGTATCACGAGAGTACAACTAGTCACACGTACAACTTTTGAT